AGGAGGAGGAGGAGGAGGAGGAGGAGGTGGAAAAGGACTGTGGGGATCCTTGGTTCCCTCTGAGCGTGGTTGTTTTCTTGCAGACATCTCACGACCCAACTAGGGAACATCATCAGTGCTGGAAGGGAGTTAGGAGTAACCTCATCAGAGTGGGGTTGGCTTTCTCTTCCCATACAATCATTTGCCTTCCCAGCCGTGGGGAGGATCTGGGCTCCTCTTGCTGGTTCCTTGACTGGGGTCCTGTTCTCTGCTTGGTTGGGGAAGCCACTGCATATCAACAGACAATTTCCAATTTTCCCATTTAATAAAAATTTGCATGCCGCCCACTCCCTAGGGACTCTGGGCGGCTTAAAAGACAGATAAAAACATTTAAAAATATAAAAATAAAGGTACATTATTAAAATTGCACATCATCCATTCAGTGTCGGTGGGGCTGGACATTGATCAACAGCCCCAGGCGTGCCGGAACAGCCAGGTCTTGGTGGGCTTTACGGAAGGCCGGGAGAGTGGGAAGGGTCCGGATCTCTACGGGACAGTACAGCAAACACCATTCTGATGACGTTGCCTAGTTGGGTCATGAAACGTCTCCAAGAAAACCACCCAGCTCAGAGAGCAGCGGGGACCCGTAGCTCCTCCCAGAGCCCCAAATATTCTCTTCTACGGGTAATTTCCCCCATGCGAAAAAATCAAGGCTCCATTTCTCCGGGTGCCAGTCGGATCCCACACCAAGACCCCCAAGCAACAGCCCCCTCATCCGAGGGGAATCCTCCCCCCCCAGGTTCAGGGCCAGGGCGGCTGCACCTCCAGATGGGCTTCGTTCCGTCCGGCCGCTGCTGGCCGGCACGATGACCCGCAGCGGGGGCTGGTGGCCAGAGGGAGGGCCCCGCCTGGGCTTCTTGGCGGGCAGCTGGGGGCCGATCTTCAGCCCCCTCAGGGCCTCGGTGGACAGGTTGCGCTTCAGCACTGTGGACTTCTTGTAGCCGTCGTAGAGGCCGAAGGCGATGTCCCGGTTGGTGGTGGTCCAGGAGGCCCGGAGGTCCACCAGGTGAAGCTGATGGGTGTGGAGCACGTCGTCCCCGTCCCGCAGCAGAACCTCCTGGGGACGGAAGGGGGGGGGTGTGAGGCCTTGTTTTAAGACTAAAAAAATCCATTTGGCCGTAGAACAGGACTGCCCAACCTTGGCCACGTTTTAAGACCTCCGGACTTCAACTCCCAGCAAAGCTGGGAGTTGAAGTCCGGAGGTCTTAAACGTGCCCAAGGTTGGACGTCCCAACTGTACAATATCTACCCCTCCCAGAATACAAATAGCTAGTCCTTGAATTGCAAAAGTTCATTTAGCGACGCCAAGGTGCTTTTAGCAACCCTTCAAAGTCACCATGGTGGTGGGGAAAAAAGGGATTTATGACCCCTTTTCACACTTACGACCGTTGGAGCTTCCCCATCACCTGCTCAAAATCCAGAATGGTTGGCAGCTGAACTCGCACTTGCGACATCCCGCAGTCACGTGATCAGTTATTGCGACCCGAGCAACGTCCATGGGGAAGCCAGGCACAGTTAACAACCGTCTCGCTCGCTTAACGACTGCAATCGTCATCTTCTTTAAATGACCCCATAATCCCTTGTGGGGATTGGAGTCTGATTGGCAGCTGAATGGAGCTGAGGGTTTCCTGGCTGGATGCCCTTCCCTGTCACCAATGCAGAGTTTCGTTCGGCAGATACATTCTCCTTGTGCCCCGAGAGAGAAATATCGGCCTCTGCCTAGGATCGAACTCACAGCCTCCTCATTGTGAGGTGGGAGCTCCACCTCTAGGCCACCTCTGCACCTATTGCTTAACAACTGCAACGATTCCCTTAAAAAGCTTGTAAAATAGGGCAAAACTTACTGTATTTTTCAGAGTATAAGACGCACCTCCCCCCAAGAGAAATGTTGGTGCGTCTTATACACCGAATGCAGCCATTTATACCCTCCCAAAAACAGGCAAAAAGATGGGTCGTTTTTTGTAAACAATGGGGCCGTTTTTGCCATCCCCCAGCCCTGCAGAAGGCTCCCGGGGGCCTTTTTTCTTACTGACCTCTGCAAAATCTTGGTGCGTCTTATAGTCAGAAAAATCTGGTACTTAACAACCATCTGACTTAGTAACAGACATTTTGGGCTCAATTGGGGTTGTAAGTCAAGGTTGACCCGATATCCCAATTTGGATTCCCCATGGATTCTGTGAGGGGCCACCAATTTGCGGCCTGCGGTGCCCAAAGCCGCCTACTTCACCGTTGCACGAACGGAGGTTTCCAAGCCATGGCTTGTTGTGGCCTGAGAGCGCTTCGTGACTCCAGTCGTTCACACGACCTGCCTCTCCCTCTTTTGCCCGGGGCTGTGTGCTGTGTGTGGAAGGGGAGGGGGGGGAATGCTACCTCCTCGGCCGTGCGGAGGCTGTGGCGCTGGTAGGTGAGGGAGGAGAGGCTGAGCAGGTGCGTCTTCTTGACCAGGGAGTCCAAGCGATGGTCCGCGTTCTCCTCACAGGGGGAGGCCATCAGGTGGACATTGACCAGGCTGAGGTCGCTCACCATCTGCACGATGCTCCACTCGGAGATCAGGCGGCGCATCACCGTGCCGGCTGCAGGGAGGGGAGAGGGTCAGGGATCGGGAGGGGCCGGGGGGGGGGGCTGCCAGGCCCTCAGGATCCGCACTCGGCCCCCTTTGCTCACCCTGAGGAATCAGCCGCTGCGTGCCGCGGGTGAAGATGTGGCCCTGGCCGCACTCCAGCTGGATGCCACGCTGCTGGGCGAAGGAGGCCCAGTAATGGATCTGGGAAGTGGGGAGAGAAGAGGAGGAAGCCCCCCAGGTGAAGGGCAGCCTCCGGCAAGACTTCGTGGGCTTTGCCCTCGGGGGGGGGGGGTGTTAGCGCTGCCGTAAAAATCCTCTAAATACATTTTCCAAAGACAATATTTCCAAAGACAATTATGTTAAGGTAAGGATGGTTTAATAGAAAAAATATTTTTCTAAATAATACAATTTTTAAATAAGAATTCAAAATAAATAAAGGAATATTCTAAATAAATAAATTTAAGAAAGAAAGAAAGAAAGAAAGAAAGAAAGAAAGAAAGAAAGAAAGAAAGAAAGAAAGAAAGAAAGAAAGAAAGAAANAAAGTATTGCTCTAAGTTCCAATTTATTAAGAGAGACATGTTGGCACATCTGGGGAAAACCCGAATCTGAAAGCTTCTGGGGTTTCCCCACGCAGTTGAAAGTTCATGATCTTGCCCCCACACCCACAAGTCTATCACATGGTCCATTCTTCCACTGCCATGCTGGCATTTCCACCCATCTAGTTCCGGTCCGGCTCAGAGGTGCAGAGACAAAAGATGACCTTGGGCTTCTAGAGAGGAATGTTTTATTTTGACAACAACATTCTACTCCTTACTATTCCCCCTCCCAATTCCTCACTAATGAAACAGCATAATAAAATAAGAGAGAGTGGCCAAAGATCCTAAAAAGAACCAGCTGAAGGCCTGACCCAGGACTTCTCAGAGCTTGAACCGACTAGATGAACTAATTGCTTTGGTCCTCTTTTATGTCTTATGGGGAGGGGGGAATCATCTCCAAACCTTACTCCCAAGTCGTCCTTTTTGTCTTAACTGTTCTTGCCTTCTGGTAGCTCTGCGCATGCGCACACTGGGCACAGGTTCACACTGTTCTTCTGCCTCGCTGATGTCAGACTTTGGAGGCCCCAGAGGCAGCACCAGCTGGCCCTAGCCCCCTCTCTGCCTCTGATGTAGAGCACTCATCAGAGCCTTCCCCAGACTCCAAGACTGGCCCTTGTTCCTCCCCAACCTCCTCACTGTCCGACTCTGCTGCCAGCTCCACAGGCCACCCGTGGACCACAACAGATACAAATGTCAAATATATTCTAGACATCTGGCTGGATTGTGCAACCAGACATAATAACAACAATGAAAACAAACATACAACTTCCAAAGATCATACTTTTGAATTTCAAAGTCTGACTTGGGGACTTTGGCTGCCAGAAAAAGGGGGCTCTAGACTGCCTATCCATGCTGTATGAGAATGGCCCCAACTATGAATGCTTTGAGTCACAAAGATATACTTTCGGGAGGCAGCCCTTGCCTCATCCCAGCATAATCAGGATGCAAAGTGCCTGGCATACAAGGGGTCAGTAATATTTATTCTATATTTGCCTTGCATATTTCTAGCCAAGATAGGAATTCACAGGAATTTAAGACACAAAGCAGAAACATTTGGGTGGTTTTTTTAAAAAAAAATCATTCTGTTTCTAAACCAGTGAGCAACTCAACCATGACCAAATTTGCATTCCTCAAGTGCCAGTCGAACTACAGATAATATTCCACTCTAAAAATTGTCACTATTCTGTCTAAACACCTGTAGGAAACACAAGGAAATGGGAGGTTCTTTTCAGCACGTCAAATTCTCTGTAAGGAGAGTGAGCTACAGTAGTGTGCAGGATATGCCTTCAGTGTACTTTGGGTTGTCGATGCTTGAGACCAAAGGGCTCTTCAAAAGCATTGAAATGACCACTTGTGGGTTTTGCAGTTGAGTATCTGCTCCTCACCAGTAATGATTTTCTACCGGTTTGGAACCGTGAGCACATGTGTGCATGTGCTTGTTTTGCTCGTGCGCCAGTGGTGGGTTGCAGGCGGTACGCCCTGGTACGGGCATACCAGAGCCTGCCCGGAGCACCGGGTACCATTCCAGTACAGTGCTTTGAAAGGCCCACCTGCACGACAGCGCTCCTTACCATGGTTTAAAGCTGTCAGCGCTTCCATGCACATGTACGGCGCCTACAGCGCCTGCGCAATGCTCTGCTGAGCAGCTGGAGCATCGCGGAGGCTTGTGGAAGCATCATTTGATACTGCAATGCATACACACGCTGCGCACATGTGCACGTGCAATGCACATGTGTTCATGGGCTCGGCACGCATGCATGTGGGTGATGCCGGGGCCGTTCCAACCGTACTGGTTGGAACGGAATCCGGAACCCACCACTGTCATGCACAGGGCTTCTGTCCATGCACAGAGCATCCGTGATGACATCTGGGTGGATGGGCGGAGCCTCCCACCACCTCCACTACTGGTGGGCCTGAACTAGGGCAAACTGGCAGAATACCACCTCTGCTCCTCACCCTGCCCCCTTAGTTCATCCCCCCCCCCAAAAAAATTCCCCATTTGGTGAGGTTACCTATGTCAGGACAGATAGATCTCAATTTATAACCATTCGTTTAGTGATTGTTCGAAGTTTACAGCAGCACTGAAAAAATGTGACACGACCATTTTTCACACTTATAACCGTTACAGTATCCTTGTGGTCACATTATCAAAACTTGAACGCTCGGCAACTGGCATCTATTTATGACAGTTGTGGTGTCCCAAGGTCATGGGATCCCCTTCTGTGATCTGACAAACAAAGACAATGGGGAGGGCGGATTCACATAACCATTGAGTTACTAACTTAACGAGTGCAGAAATTCATTTAACAACTTTTGCAAGAAAGGTTGTAAAATGGGGCAAAAGCAACTGTTAGCGCAACAGAAATTTTGGGTTCAATTGCAGTTGTAAGTTGAGGATGATCTGTAGTAGGTATATTCTCCACCGTGAGTTATTTATAAAAAACAATAAAGGCAGGATTCTAAAAGTGGAGATTAGACCAGTGGTGAAATTCAAACTTTTTTATTACCGGTTCTGTGGGTGTGGCTTGGTGGGCGTAGCGTGGCTCGGTGGGCGTGGCAGAGGAAGGATACTACAAAATCCCCATTCCCTCCTGATCAGCTGGGACTCGGGAGGCAGAGACTAGATGGGGGTGGGGCCAGCCAGAGGTGACATTTGCCGGTTCTCCGAACTACTCAGAATTTCCGCTACTGGTTCTCCAGAACCTGTCAGAACCTCCGGGATTTCACTCCTGGGTTAGACATTTACAAGGATGCCTGAATCGTGACTCCACATCCCACTGTGGGTTTTTGGTCTCTGGGAAATTCAATGATGTGGAATTCTCCTTGGCTACTCGGGTTTAGAGAGGGAAGCCACAAATGCCTTTTTCTTTCAGGATTCAGATGCTCTTAATGCCTATTGATTACAAAACGGCAGAGCTGCCTTCTGCCTGGTGCTTGTGGCAACTCAGGTCTGTAACATCAATTGACATGACGCTGTGTTGGGCCATCCGGGGATGAAGAGCAATTGCCCACACCTTGGCAGGTCCCGCAAAAAAAAAAGGCTAGGAGGGACTAAGTGCTATTTCTTATTACACCACAACCACTAAGTGAGCTGCAGTGAGAGAACCACCAGGAAACAACCTTCAGCGTGAGAAATGCTAGAACTGCATCCATCATAGGGAACTTAGCAACAGCAATAGCACTTAGACGTATATACCGCTTCACAGTGCTTTTACAGTCCTCTCTAAGCTGTTTAGAGAGTCAGCCTCTGGCCCCCAACAATCTGGGGCCTCGTTTTACCTACCTTGGGAGGATGGGAGGCTGAGTCAACCTTGAGCCTGGTGAGATTCGATCTGCCATATTGCGAGCAGCTGGCAGTCAGCAGAAGTCGCCTGCAGTACTGCACTCTAACCACTACACCACCACGGCTCTAAAAGGGGTAGGGCAACTAGATGAAGTGCCGTATGCAAGGATTGGGCAACTTTAGTGGGCGTCTCCAAGGCCATGATCTGCATCCTGACCTTCTGAAAGGTCACAAGAAAACCATCCCCCCGATCAGAGGGTCTGATGACATCAAGAAAAGAGCATAACTGATTTCTGGAATGTAGGGTTTATTTGTAGAAATTGGGTTTAAAAATGGAGGGAAAGGCAGAACCTTTACATGGACAAGAGGATTAATCACCCAAGGTTGCTAACGCTAGCAGGTGTTGTTTCAGGGATTTTCTGCATCTGCATTTTCTGTGCATCAGATGAGGAGAGCACATTTTCTCCTTCTGTCCTGGCCACTTTTTACAGAGGCACAATTGAGAGCATTTTAACAAACTGCATCATTGTTTGGTTGGGTGGTAGCAGTGGCTCAGATAGAAAGCCCATACAGAGAGTGGTAAGGACAGCGGAGAACATTGTAGAAAGTTTGCTTCCCGTTATTCAGGATACTGCTTATATGTGCTTAGAGCACACACTCACTTTACAGGCTGTTTCTGTTGTTCCCATCTGGGAGGAGGTTTTGAAGTATTTATAGCAGGACTACCAGATTCTGTAACAGCTTTGTTCCCTAAGCCATCTGTTTGGTAAACTCACTGGAGTTTAAGAGTAAAAATGCTACTGGTTCGCCCAAACCAATAGTAAAAATGCTATTGGTTCATCTAAACCGGTAGTAAAAATGCTACTGGTTTGCCCGAACTGGTAGTAAAAATGCTACTGGTTCACCCAAACCAGTAGTAAAAATGCCACTGGTTCATCCAAACCGATAGTAAAAATGCTACTGGTTTGCCCGAACCGGTAGTAAAAATGCTACTGGTTCACCCAAACCAGTAGTAAAAATGCCACTGGTTCATCCAAACCAGTAGTAAAAATGCTACTGGTTTACCCAAATCGGTAGTAAAAATGCTACTGGTTCACCCAAACTGGTAGTAAAAATGCTACTTGTTCACCCAAACCAGTAGTAAAAATGCTACTGGTTCATCCAAACTGGTAGTAAAAATGCTACTGGTTTGCCTGAACCGGTAGTAAAAATGCTACTGATTCACCCGAACCGGTAGTAAAAATGCCACTGGTTCACCCAAATCGGTAGTAAAAATGCTACTGGTTTGCCCGAACCGGTAGTAAAAATGCTACTGGTTCAC